GTGCAGGAAGGTAGAAATTTAAGGTTATAAATTTTATTTCTGACATTTTTAATTAAGCTATTTTGGAATAAAACCAAATCGGCCAAAAAAATAATTGACTTCCAACAATTATCATACGACTCAATTGTATTATATTTATAATCTTGTCAATAACCATTGATAGAATAGAATTTGATGTGAATTTGAATGAAAAAAAGAGAGAAATTATATCTAATGAAATGTGAAACAATTTAAATCAAAGAGTATTTTTGTTTAAGAACAAATACTACTATTCTTATATAAGGATATATTTTATTAAATAGGTCGAGTAGATCAAAAAAGTTACATCGTCGTTATATTGATCTTGGGAACTATCGATTTAATGTCTTCAATTATTTTACGGTGATGTTGAATGAATTTGAAAATATTAAAATTGAAGATATATCAGAAAGTAATGATGAATTTGAAAATATTAAAATTGAAGATATATCAGAAAGTAATGATAAATTTGAAAATATTAAAAATTGAAGATTTATCAGAAAGTAATGATGAATTTGAAAATTATTGATACTTTTATAAAGAAACTTTTAAGAGACCCGTGGGTCGATAGCGTAGTGGTCACAATCACAAGGTTGCGAGTTTGAGTTCTACTGGTGATGAACGGCTCTGCCAGGACCACGATTGGAATCTTCGGAGGATTCCCATTAAAGATTCATACGTACAAGTGCAGTCCGCTGGCATAGGATATTGAATCTTCTGTCATGTACACATGGCCTATCAATTAAATTTTATTGATTTTAAATCAGAGAATAAGGTTGTCTATCTGATACAAGAATAGTAGAGTTTTGAAAAGTTCATGTGAAATATTGTTAGTTTGTAGTGAGGTAACAACATAAATATCGTTAATATTTGTATAAATCGAAAATTAGGTAAATTAGGTGGTGGATTTCTTGAAGTCTTGTTCAAAAATCTTAACGATGCAAGAAGTAAAATATCCCTATATATATATAATCCAGTGATTAAATTATTGATCGATTACCTATTTAAATTACAAAATTTATCACTTTTAATGCTACAATAATAATCTATTAATAAACCGAAACTTGAGTATCTGACATACTAAACACTTTGTCTAATGTACTAGATGTAAACTGTGATTTACGATACATATAAAAACTACTACTTCTACTAGAGATACATAAATAGTATTGTTAGTTTTCTGTCATTTATGCATTATGTTTCAATCAATAAAACTGAACTGATTGAAATCAGATGACACCTTGCAAGATGAATTAGGGGTGTCTATAATTACGTTAAACCAGTATTTTTATAAGATAATACAAAAACAATACTATATAGAATACAGTACTGGATGCCTTACTTAAAATCAACCACCTAAAGATGTGAACTGTGAATTACAATACATATAAATAAACTGTAGTTTATTTTAAAACTACAGTTTTACAATAAACTACAGTTTATTTATACTAACTACTAGTTTATGGATCGCATCTCTACAACCACCACAGTTTCAACAGGAAATTTTCAAATAAGATATATATCGATTGGGTGATTGGTATCGATTTATAAATGATTACAATCGATTATAATCGATATAATTCGATGCCAATCACCTCTGCCGATGGTAATCAATATATCGATATACCTTATTTTAAAATTTCTTGATGAAAACAACCTGCGATTCAGTAGGGATATAATTTATATAAATCTTCCTTCCTGAATTGGGGTCGTCCTTGTTCTATCTCTTTCTAATAAAGCTAGTTCAATTCTGTAACTTGTAAATAGTGTATATAATATTGCAATTTTAAAACTAATATTGTCATATTTAATACTAATATGAACTTGCGTAGTATTTACATTTCCGAAGTGGGCTGTCCTTGTCTAATAATTTATTATTGTTATTATATAGTAAAAGAGAAGAAAAATTAAATCTCTAATAGTAGATAGGCTGTGTCTTCACTGTAATACAAAAATACAACACAAACAGATCCTTGGTTATAATAAATTAAAAAGATAAGAAATTTTAATTTTTAAATTTTCACTGGTTATTGTTATCGACCATATATTGATATATTGATATATATTTATGATAAAATCTTTTTTGAAAATTAATAGCATCACAAAATTTAGAAATTATCTATAATATATTTAGCATTAGTGAAAATAAACT